TGGGGGGGGGGGTACTTACTGGAGGTAACTATAAAAGACCTCCCACTGGCTGACTGAATAGATAGATCATAGTGTTAATAGAATCTTGTAGGGATGGCCCTGAAGTCATTCCAATTGGTCTTCTTCACCATTTAGGTTAAGGCAAGACAATCTCACTGTATTTTGGGAAGGCTAGATCCTCCCTTAACGTAAGACCATAACGTCTCCTTGCTCTAAATCGGCCTGTGACCCTCAGATTTAGTCTTCTTTGCAAATTTCCTAATGAGCAGCTCCACGGTGAGCCTTATAAAATAGAAACCGCTCAATTTTCCTTAGGAGGTGTGGGGGGGTCTCTTTGCATATGAAATAGAGACGGTTTTGGCTTCCTTTAGCTCATTAGGCACCAAAAATCCTTAGAGACTTAAACCCCAGTCCCAACTATCGCAACAGCCGCTAGAACCCAGTCTCCCAAGTTTCCCGCAGCGCCCCGGCCCCCAGCTCCCCGACTCGGGGGAGGGGCGTTCCTAGACTGGAACAGCCAACCCCGAGCGCTAGCGGAGGGCCCTTCCCACCCAGTTTCAGTGGGCGGTGCAGAAGGCCGACCCCAAACTCTGAAAGATATGGGGTGGCGAGAGGGCTACCGAAAAGCTTTAGGTAGGACTTAATTCAACTTGAAGGGCTGAGCGAAGCAAGGCCGATGCGCTGTGGTGTCGCTGCCTCCCCCCCCCTACTACGAGGAGAGTTGTAGGGGTGGCGGTTATTCACCCTCCTATTGGGGTTAGGATGGCGTGGGAAAGCGCTAGTTCCAGAGCCGAGGAGGCGAAACCTAGACCGCGGGAGATTTTCTGCTGGCGAGGAAGGCGTGGGGGAGGGGAGATCTGAGCCCGAACAGTGGGGGTACCCGGGAGAGAGGATGGCGGCGAGGCGAGAGAAGCCTAGGGATCACAGTCGCAGAGGACAGGGTGGGAAAGAGCCAGCGGAGGGGGTGGGGGAGGGGAAGGGCAGCTCCTACAGCCGGGGCAGAGATCCCCACGGGGACGCCCAGCTCCGGACTCCGGGGCTGGAGCAGGATGCTGGGCCTCACCTGCAGCAGGGCCGGGCCGGGCGGCGGCGGCGCAGGTGGCCGAGCCGGGCGGCAGCGGCGCCTCCTCCCCCAGCCCGAGGCCGGCGGCGGTGGAAGGGGGAGGTGGCGCTTAAAGGGGCAGGAGCACTGGGGTGAGGACGAGCGCTCGGGGACGGCCGTCGCGAAGGATCTACTGGGGGAGGGGCAGGCGGGTGGCGTCTCCTAGGGGCCAGAACCAGGAAGAATCCCAGATAGAGGAAGCGAGCAGACAGATCCCAGGAAGAGACGCGAAGTTCTGTGATGGTGGGTCTGAAGTACTTGAGGGAGCCCTGCTGCACTGCCGGGGCACCGGCCGAGACTACTTCACAAAGGAGGCTGGGAAGACGGGGGACACAAAGATTCTGAGGAAGCCCTGGGGATCAGGACAGGGAACTCAAGGCGAGCATACTGGGGTCACGCACAGCGCCCTCCTAGGTAAACGTGCTACTGTGGGCCCCATCTCTACAACTCTGGGAGATTTTGGAATCAGGAAGCCACAAAGGCAAAACCTTCCCTGTCCTGTCAGTTTTCAAGCTCTCAGTGCCCTCAGTGACTCTGAGGAGTGTGGAGGCCGTCCATAACAACGAGTGAGACTGACGTGGGGCCGTGAGAACCAGCTTTATTCATAGCTCAGTTTTGCCTCAGCCACCACCACCCTTGTAGCAACCTCTGGGGCAACAGGAAGCAGCTGCTCAGTGCAGCCCCCACCTCGTGGTGGGTTAGGTGAGGGAGGAGAGAAGACAGACTTTAAAGGCCTAAGAGAAACTGGGGGGAGGGGAAGTACCTCTCAACCCGACCAAAAGTGGGCTAGCAATGAATACTGTAAAATACTACAGGATCTCAGCAACTTAAATGAGGAAGGAGGGAAGATACCCTACCGGGGAGTGAAGCCCCGACCTTTTCCTTAGAGCTGGAGCTTGCCAATGCTAAGATCATGAGATCACAGCAGCTCACCAGCTGAGCCTGGTGTCCCCCAACGGCCCTATTTCCTCTCTTTCACCCCCCAAAGAGCAAAGGTTAGGCCCCACCCCTGCTGAGTCAGCCGGGGAGGGAGCTAGGCATCCCACAGGCCTTTTCCAGGGGCTGGCCCGGATACTCACCCATGTCAGGCTGGCAGGACTCCAGACTAGGACCACCGGGCTCCTCACTGTCCTTGGTCCCCGCTTCAATTGAAAGCTGGTGTTAGAGCCTCCCCAACTGTAAGCTGGGAACTAGCAAAAAACAAAACGCCAATGTATGCTTCCTGCGAACCACACAGCCTGAACTGCTGTACGGTGATGTCCCTGTATGACAGACTGGGGTGGGAGGGAGGAGGGAAGGGCGGGGCGTTCTCTGGGTGGAGACAGGGAGGAGGCGAGGACAGGGCAGACCAGGAGAAAGATGGAGGAAGGTTAGAACTATGTTGACACTTCGGTATTGTGGTAGAAGAGGCGGTAAAGGAGGAAGGAAATAGTTGCAGCTAATGAGAGTGAGAAGATTCTCGATTAATGCTCAAGGACGTGAACATGGGGATGCAAATGACCTTTTAGGATTTTAGTTCCCAAGTCTGTATCTGGGTGACAGACCAGAAAGGGTGACTGGTACTCTGAGGTCCTCACCAGCTTCTTACCCACTCCAGTCAGGCCCTGGAGGAAGTGTCCCCACCCCCTTGAGAGCGTTTCCAAGCCAAGCTGCTCAGAGAGCAAACTACCAGGCACAAGCAACTCAGGGGCTCCACCTTCCGTCCAGATCTTGACACTGAAGGGACTGAAGCCAAGGACGTCATAGGCAGATGGGAGGAAACTTAAAGAGGCCCCAACTCCACCCCTGGCGCCTCTCCCAGGGCCCTTCCCCATCCTTCAGCCCCCAGGGGGCTCCCAATTGGGAGTTCAGCTCGTCCCTGTCCAGCTTCAACCCGCCCAAGGTGGCCTCGCGGAGGTGGAGCTTATAGATGCAGGCTCCTCCTCGGGACAAAAAGCCTAGCTGATTTGTAAACAGTGGTTAGATGACAGAGGTACCTTCTAGCAAATGGCCTTTATAGACTTCAAAATGGTGAGATGCGGGTTGTTGCAGTCTCCAGTACTGCCAGAAGGGGGCAGCAAGAATGGCTCTGGTCTAGACAAGGGGCACAAAATGTGACCTTGCACAGTGCACCTTGGCCTGCCAAAATGAAATAGGAATTTATCTCACGTCATTTGGTCATAAGCTTAAACAGCAACCCTGAAAATCGTGCTCTCCTTGCACAGACTATGAAATCTCCCATACTTTCATGAGAAACCTCAGCAGAGTTCAGGACAAGCCTTCTGAAATTTTTTTTAATCCTGTTAAAAGCCAGCCTCAAGCAAATACAAGTCTAGGAACTCTCTGAAGAAAGGAAGTCCTAGTAAAGGTGCAGAAGGAGCCAGGTGTGGTGGCACATGCCTTTAGTCCCAGCACTGGGGAGGCAGAGGCAAGTGGATCTCGAGTTCAAAGCCAGCCTGGTCTACATATTCAGTTCTAGGCCATTTCTTAAAAACTTTAACCTTTGCTTTGCCTTTAAATAAGCCAATCTATTTTTCCCAATATTCTCTTCTAAAGTCATTTTACTTTTTAAAACTGAAACTGTGTTGAGCTGGGTGTTATGGTGCACCCCTTTAATCCTGCAGGCAAATCTCTGAGATCAAGGCCAGCTTGGTCTACACAGCACGTTCCAGGCCAGCTAGGGCTACAAACTATCTCAAAAAATCTAAAGAAGATCCCATTAACCACAACAAACTTCCCCAAGACCCACAAGAATTTCAGTGAAAGGTTCTTTTCTGAAAATTCCACTTCAAACATACAGGACTTTACCATACTAAAACTGTATGTGGCTACCTCCATGTCAACTGCATTGCTGGCTGTTTTGAGAACCAAGATAAAGAGACAAATTCTGAGGGGTGTACACTTTATTGAAAACTTTAAATACTCTTCAGACAGAACATCTTCAGTCAAGGCTCTTGTAGAAGCCTATACAGAAAATTGTTGCTTTCAGCACTGGAGGCAAGGAGACAGTACAGAGGATGAATATTTAGTGTGGCAAGAGGACCCCTCATGATGTATGCTCTTCTGCCAGCTTATCAGCTTTTGCCACAGCTTCTTCAATGGGTCCCACCATATAGAAGGCCTGTTCTGGGAGATGGTCATAGTCACCTATATGGGGGGAAAAAAAAATCCAACTAATAAGAAGTAGAGTTGTATCAACTTTCTCACCACTTGTCACAGATGAGACTCATGAATTCGTATCATCTAAGAAACCTCTTAACCTTCCAAGTAAAATCTGAAAAAAGATTAAGAATACATGGTTTAGCCAGGCGTGGTCGTTCACACCTTTAATCCCAGAACTCATAAGGCAGAAACAGGAGGATCTAAGAGAGACCCTGTCTCAAAAACAAACAAAAACCCACAAGGTTTGGTGGCCATGGTGGCACAAGCCTTTAAGCCCAGAATTTCTGAAGAGGCAGGTGAATGCCTATAAATTCCAGGCCAGCCAGGACTACACAGTGAGACCCTGTCTCAAAAAAACAAAGGCTGTGGCATGGTAGCACATACATGCCTTTTAATTCCCACAGAGGCAGACAGATCTGAGAGATTGAGGCCAGCCTGGTCTACACAAAGTTCTTAGCCAGCTGAGGATACAGGGAGATCCTGTCTCAAAAAATAAAACAAACATGGTTTGGTGCTGTAGATATGGCTCTACAACAGTTAAGAACACTGGCTGTGGCCAAGCAGGGTGGCCCACACCTTTAATCCCAGCACTTAGGGGCAGTGGCAGGTGAATCTGAGATCTAAGGCCAGCCTGGTCTCAAAAATACAAAACAAAAAACATTGGCTGCTCTAGCAGAAGGCTCAGGTTCAGTTCCATATGGCAGGTAACACCCATTCTTATTTCTAGTCCCAGAGGATCTGACACCCTTTTCTGGGAACACACACACACACACACACGCAAAACAGAATTTGGGGGGTGAAAAAGTTTCAGCTGGGTGTGGTGGCACAGCCTTTAATCCTAGCAGTAGGGTACACTGGGGCATGTGGATCTGTGTTCAAAATCAGCCTAGTTTACTCAGTGAGTTCTAGGCTAGCCAGGGCTACACAGTTTGGAACCAAACTACTACTACTCTCTATTTTGGCTATGTGGTATTGGGACAGTTTATATGAATACTGTTCTAGTAAAGCAAGGCAATAATGTTTTCCCTTTATGGTTTTAATTCACTTATAGGAATAGTTAGCATCACAAAGAGATACAAGAGAGCTAGAGAATCACAATACAAGTCACACTCAGAAATGCAGACTGTTTTAAAATAAAATTGGTGGGAAATAACCCAATTTGTAAATCAAAAAGCATACAGTATATTATATTTTGCTTGATGGTGTTAGAATGGAAACATAGTACTATTAGTATTCATTCAGGGTTTCAGTTTTTCTATCATTTTATGTCCAGCTTTGGACTCAAAATCTCACCTGCCAAAATCTGCTGGAATCCTTTAATGGTCTCCTTCAAGGGCACCAGCTTTCCCATATGACCTGTAAAGACCTCAGCAACCTGGAATGGCTGCGACAGGAAGCGCTGAATTTTCCTTGCCCGGGACACAGTCAACTTATCTTCCTCAGAAAGTTCATCCATACCCAGGATGGCAATGATGTCCTGGAGGGATTTGTAGTCCTATGAGAGAACAAGATTAAAAAAAAGGTAAGTATTCACATTTAAAAAAATATTTTACGATCTTTATGTTCATGAATGTTGTGGCTGCACGTTGTGTAAGTGCACCCATGTCATGCAATGCCCACAAAGGTCAGAAAAGGGTGTCAGACCCCCTGGAAGTGAAGTTATGGACAGCTGTTATCTGCCATGTGGATGCTGAGAATCGAACCTAGGTCCTCTGCAAGAGCAGCCAGTGCTCTTAACCAATGAGCCATCTCTTCAGCCCTAGTATTCACATTCTTTTAATTTAGAACTCTATCAGAAGTTACAAGAGGGCTTTCAGTCAAGATTAGTCTTTTCCCTATTCTTCCTTAGGTATATTTTAGAAAAAACTGAATTCTAAAGCCCAAGTACCCAGTTGTACCCAAGAGATCCCTTAGCATTATCCATCTTCTAGTCTCAACCTTCCTTGCTCAAAGCAAATCATACAAATGACTAGGAAAGATCCAGTCCTAATATAGCTCTCAAACTCCTTTCCTTATTTTATGCTACTGACTTCATTAAGCAACGTAATTACCTGCAGGATCTTTTGCACACCTCGGGCAACATCATAATGTTCATTGCCAACGATATTGGGATCCATGATTCGAGAAGTAGAGTCCAGAGGATCCACAGCTGGATAAATGCCCAACTCAGCAATAGCACGGGACAGCACAGTAGTGGCATCCAAATGGGCAAAGGTAGTTGCAGGGGCAGGATCAGTCAAGTCATCAGCAGGCACATAGATAGCCTACAGTGATTCAAGAACCCAGGGAGATCAGTAGAAACCAACTGTATTTAAGCCATCCCTTTTCTCAACCTCACCCTTCCTTTGACAAGATTCTTTTGCCTTAACCTCCCTGGTGCTGAATTATAAGCACATCCTACCTTTCCAAGTTCCAAACCATGCTACATTTTAGACAGGCATGACAGCACACACTTTTAATCCCAGCACTCAGGAGGCAGAGGCAGGAGGATCTGTGAGATTGAGGGCAGCCTGGTCTCCACATGAAGGAGGATCTGTGAGATTGAGGGCAGCCTGGTCTCCACATGAAGTTCCAGGTCAGCTAGAACTACAGGGAGACCCTATCTTTAAAAAAAAAAAGATCTGTTTTTGTTTATACAAGTGGTTTCCCTGTTATCTGCATACAACATGAGTGCCTGATACACAAGGCCAGAAGAGGGCATCGGATCCCATGGAATTATAGTTACAGACAGTTGTGAACTGCCAAGTAGGTGCTCTATTTCTCCAGCCTCCATGCCACATTCTTTATTTTGGTCTTTATGAGATAGTCATTAGAGTGGATTTAATGACCACCAACCAACTGGACAATGCCGCATTTTAAATCCACTGTAATGATACCCCATCTTTTAAAACTAAAAACAAGAGCAAAAAAAAAATCTTCATGGACTACCACTAGTTGAAGTGAACATGAGACATAATCAAAAACACACACACAAGGCAAGGATGAGAACCAGGTGTGATAGCTCATATCTACAATCCCTGCACTTGGGAAGCAGAGGCGGGGGGGATCTCTGTAAGACTGAAGCAAGATTGATCTATATAAAGTTCCAGGCCAGCTGGGGCTACAGGGAGACCCTGTCTCAAAAAGACCAAAAATAAAAAAAATAAAAAAAAGCTGGGCCAGATGTGTTGGTGCAGGCCTTTAATCTCAACACACAGGAGGTAGAGGCAGGCAGAGCGGAGTTCAAGGATAGTCTGGTCTACACAGCATGTTCTAGGCCAGCCAGTGTCACATGAGATGCTATCTCAACAAAAATCTAAAAAAGAGATGTTATACTCTAACCACATTTTGAGGCAATTTTCCTACATATTATCCATGGACATTTTAAATTTTATAGCACATTAACATAGTAAATGATTAATATAGTCAATTTCTATACAGGTGCAGATTCCTCCCAAACTATAAACACTGCCTTTGTAATCTCATTTATATGGTTACTTTCAATTTTTTTTTTTTTTTTTTTGGAAGGGGGTCTCCCTGTAGCCACAGCTGGTCTGGAACTCACTATGTAAACCAGGCTGGCCTTGAACTCAAGAGATCTACCTAACTCTGCTGAGATTAAAGGCGTAAATTTCCACCCCGCACCCCCACCCCCTGGCCTGGAACTCCCTATGTAGTACTGGGATCAAAGACATGCACCACCACACCCAGCTTATTTTACATTTACTTATATGTTTATGTGTACCATTTGTGTATACATTCCAAAGAAAGGTATCAAATCCCTTGGAACTGACAGCTCCAGTTACGGGCAGTTTTGAGCCACCCATGGGTACTGAGAATCAAACCCCAGTGCTCTACAAAAGCAGCAAGCACACTAAGTCATCTCTCCAGACCCTCATACTTTCAATTGTTAGATGAGTGTTTTGTTTTCTGGGTTTTTTGAGGCAGGATCTTATGTAGCCCAAGTTGGCTAGGAACTCACTATATAGCAGAGGACAGCCTTGAATTCCTGATCCTCTGGCCTCTGCTACCAGTGTATTAGGATTATACGCATACCACCAGACACAACTGATGAGTGGAATTTTTCTCATTTATCTTTATGGTCTTTAAGGTGCAAATACAGAATTTCTTACATAGTATTCTAGCTCATGGACTCTTCCCATTCAGAAGTCTTTTTAAAGATACAGCAAGGTTTTTAAAGGTTTTTTTTTTTGGAGGGGGGTTAGTGTTTAAGATAGGGTCTCATTATGTAGCCCTGGCTAGTCTCAAAATCAGAGATCTGCCTACCTCTGCCTCCCAAGTGCTGGGATTAAAGTGTGTACCACGACACCAGGCCATTTTTTTAAGTTTTTTTTTAATTAAGGGTATGTGTATGTGTATGTTTGTATCTGTTTAGAGATTTGTGTTTATGAGTGTGAGTACACTGTAGAGTACAGAAGAAGGTGCTGGATTCTGTAGAGCTGGAGTAACAAGGAGTCATGAGCCCACTAGCCTAACATGGGTGCTGGAAACCAAACTTAGGTCTTCTACAAGATCAGTATGTGCAAACATTAATTACAAAGCCATTTCTTCAGTCCTCCAACAAGTTTTTAGATCTCCCCAAATGCCTTCCTACAAATTAAGTCTTTATCCACTTTATTTTTCTTACCTGCACAGAGGTGATAGATCCCTTTTTGGTGGTGGTAATTCTTTCCTGCATTGTGCCCATGTCAGTGGCTAGGGTAGGCTGGTAGCCTACAGCAGAAGGAATTCTGCCCAACAAGGCAGACACCTAAAAAGAGTAAATAAATACCAAACATCTTAGGTGTCTATCTTTAGCCTAGTATTCTCAACTCCACAGGGAAGTCCAATGGACCAGGTCCTCGCAAGGCTTTCCTCCTACCTCTGAGCCAGCCTGGGTGAAGCGGAAGATGTTGTCAATGAATAGCAGTACATCTTGACCTTCTTGGTCTCTGAAGTATTCAGCAACAGTCAGTCCAGTCAGAGCTACCCGGGCACGAGCACCAGGTGGTTCGTTCATCTGACCATACACCAACGCTACCTGCAGTAATTACACAAACCAGAAAATTTAGCAGAGTTGTAAGGAAGCCATGTGCACATACGAGATCCCCAATCTGAGAGAGAAACCACCATAGGTTCTCCTACTACAGACCAGTATTTTTACTTGCAAGCTTTTCCCTAGTAGACATGAAGTTTTTTTTCCAGTCTTTTTGAGACAGGGCCTCCCTGTAGTCCCAGTTGGCCTGGAACTTGCTATGTCAACCAGGCTGGCCTGGATCTCATAGAGAGCCATCTGCCTCTGCCTCCCAAGTGCTGGGACTAAGGTGTGCACCACTATGCACATGTTTTTCAGACAGGGTCTCCCTGCAGTCCCAGCTGCCTGGAACTCACTATAAAGATGTATGTCACCACATCTTCTGGATTTTTTTTTTTTTTTTTTTTGAGACAGGGTTTCACTATGTGGCCCTGGCTACTCTAGAACTTGCTATGTGGTATGTAGACTAGGCTGACCTGGAACCCCCAGAGATCTACCTGCATCTGCCTTCCAAGTGGTGGGATGAAAGGCACAGACTACCACTTATAGCAATAATTTCTTTTACTTTTTTTTTTGGTCTTTTCTGAGACAGGGTCTCTCTGTCTCTCTGTAGCCCCAACTGTCCTGGAACTATGTACACGAGGCTGGCCTGGAATTCACAGTGATTCACTGGCCTCTGCCTCCCAGTGCTGGGATTAAAAGCATGAGCCACCATACCCAGCTAATTTCTTATTTTTAAAACAATTTTCCTCAAGTAGGACATAGCCAGAAATCAAAGATATAAAACAAGGTTGACACATGTGAACACCACCTCCCCATCTCTCCAAATTAGCTCTCAAACAACTGAACTATCTACCAAAATTAAAGAAATGTACTCACATCAGAAAAAATCTGAATTGGTATATTGGAAGCTGGCAGTGGGGGAAGACAACAAGGAATTTACAAGGAATTTTCTTGACATATCCTGGGACACTAACATGAAAATTTAAAACATGGCTTCCGCTGGCAGTAGTTTTCTAACATGGTTATCATATGGACATCAACCAGCTCACCTTAGAGGTAGCATCTTTTAGGTTGATGACACCAGATTCAATCATTTCATGGTATAAGTCATTGCCCTCACGGGTCCTCTCACCAACACCAGCAAATACTGAGTAACCACCATGGGCTTTGGCGACATTGTTGATTAACTCCATGATCAGTACAGTCTTGCCAACTCCGGCACCACCAAAGAGTCCTAGGAGGTTAAGAAGAGATATATAAAAGCTCTGCACTCTTGAATTAAGTAAACTTAATTCTCTGTCTTTTGCCTTCTCAGGAATGGCATCTGGCTTCAGCAAACTCAGAAGAACGAAAGTCAGAAGCTATTCATCAGTGAAGGAGAGCAATATGCAATATGCACTCATAGCATGGTTTGAGTATTAGGTTTGGAAAATAGGCACCAACCATTAACATACCAATTTTGCCACCCTTGGCATAAGGAGCTAGCAGATCCACAACCTTGATACCAGTCACCAGAATTTCCTGTTCAACGCTCATCTCTATGAACTCGGGAGCCTCAGCATGAATAGGTGCGAATCTGTAAAGGTAAAAAGAGAAAAGAGGATCAGTACCTATTCATCTTGTCTCTGTCAATATTTAAGTCTAGTCTTGTACTAGAGCATCCAGTCTAACAATCTAAAACTTTCTAAAATAATGAAGACTTTGTCTCAGGAACCAATAATCATATTTCCTGACTACCCTGTCAAACCCTTTTTCCTTTTACTAGGTCTTAACATAACATTCCTTTACATACCAACAGGAAAACAAAGACCTGTAAATCTTAAAGAATCTACAACCTAAGCCAGGCGTGGTGGCCCACGCCTTTAATCCCAGCACTTGGGAGGCAGAGGCAGGTGGATCATTGTGAATTCGAGGCCAGCCTGGTCTACATAGTGAGATCCAGGACAGCTGGGGCTATAAGGAGACCCTGTCTCAAAAAGACAAAAAAAAAAAAGAACCTACAACCTAAGTCATAAATTTAAACTTTAAACTTTATCTTTTAATTTCTTCAAAAGAGCATGCATTGTGTGGTTTTAATAACTGACTACATCAACAATTTAAGTATTTTCTGTATGAAAAATTCTGCTTTGCTAGAAGGTATCTTAAGGTGCAAAACTACAAGAAAAAGCAGTTCCTTTGTTCACAGAGGCAGTGAGATGAACTTACTGTTTGGTTTTAATAGGGCCTCTCTCATCAATGGGTTCTCCAATCACATTCATGATTCTGCCCAAGGTCTCAGGACCAACAGGAATTTTGATTGGTGCACCTGAATCCAGTACTTTCTGGCCTCTAACCAAGCCTTCAGTACCATCCATAGCAATGGTTCTTACGGTACTCTCACCTGTCAGATAAAGGCATTGCAAAGATCTGTACCAACATTTGACAACGTGTAATTAAGTGTAGCATAAATCATACAAGGCTCCTTCTCAGCATCTAAAGATGGCTTCAGCAAACTCAGAAGAACGAAAGTCATTTTGATAAAATCATCACAGAAGGGAGACAACATGGGTTTTGTGATATTTAAGCTAAACACTATTAAGCTAAATACTATTCCTAAAAATCCGACTTACCCAAATGCTGAGCCACCTCCAAAACCAGCCTGGTCTCCCTGCCTTGCACCTCCAGGGCATTTAGGATGGGTGGTAATCCTTCATCAAACTGGACGTCCACCACGGCGCCGATGACCGCCACAATGCGCCCGGTGGCAGCGCCTGCCTTAGGAGACGGGGAAGTTTGCGCCGCATAGTCTCTGGCTAAGAGAAGATACTAGTCAGCACTCGGTCGGGACGTCCAAAGGTCACTGAAGCCCCGATTTAGCCCTCAATAAGCTAATTCAGCCCAGACTCGGCCTCCAGCTAGTAGGGCAGGCGTGCTCAGCGGGCCTCACAGCAACCGAGAACGTGCTGCACAGTTTTCCCACTCGTGCAAAACCCGCCATTATTCCCGGGCATGATATGCCCATCCCACCGCAAGGTCAAGACAGCTGCCCGCCGCTTTCCCATCACACAGCCCTTTCTCTCCAAAATGGACCACCACTAATTCGATGAAAGCTCGCAGGGGCGACCCGTCCCACTCTCCGGCTCGCTGCTCCAGGGATCCGTATGGCACGGCGGATCCCCTAGGCCCCAACCGAGGCTCAAGGTCATGCAGAAGCAGCAATGAGCCGGGCTCCTCCAGGGAAACCTACCCGGATGGAGCGAGGCGGGCGCGGCTCGAAGGAGAAGCTGCGCTTGAGGGAGCGACGCCGAATTGCTCAGTCCCCGCAGGGCCCCGGAGGCCGAGACCGAAGCCGAGGCCACACGCCCCACAAGACCCAACATGGCGGAGTCCGGGTGGAGACTGAGCGCAGCACTGTCCCCAGCCGCCGCGCCTGCAAGGTGGGGCGAACCCTAGTGTGCAGAAGGCACAGCCATTGGGTAAGCTTGCTGCTCGTCAATGCAGTGGTGCTGCAATTGGGTCAAAAATTCTCACCTTCCAAGCCATTGGACAAAACTGATGTCAATCTGAAGTCCTTTTTTTTCATTGGCGGCGCCAGCGTCCGAGCCTCGAACCCTAATTGGACCGCCGAATGTCTGTTGAAGCGAGGACTTGGCGGAACTACGTAAAGCGAAGGGGCGGAGTTCCTGTGGAGCTAGGGCACACATGGGTAATCTTTGCTTGTCCTTGGGCTATCTCCTCAGATAGGACCTTGAGTTGCTTGACAGCTCAGGGGCGGGGATTAACCTAAGCTGTGGCGTCCTGAAACTACGCAAGGTGACCATGGCGAAGACAGGGGCCTCATGTGGCATCAAAACGCGGGTTTTCTTCCACAGTTAGTGAGATTGGAAGCCCCCAGAAGTCTCAGCAGGTCAGAAACCCTGCAGACCATTTCGTTTAAATCTGTCAGCAACTCTTCTTCATTACACCAGATGTATTCTAAGCACTGAGGAGACAGTTGTAACACTCGAGGTACAAATTTGGGTCTCCTAGTCATGTAAAGAAATTGCCCTAGTCAGTCCTGAGATGGCAGAAGTCTGTAATTCCAGAACTTGGGCAGTAGGATCAGGAAGGAGTTCGAGGAGACAGCTTTGGTTATATATCGAATTGGAGGCCAACCTGGCTACAAAAGACCCAGTCTCAAAAAAAAAGCAAAACAACAAAATGTAATTGTTGGAAGTGGAGGCTGAGAGACCTTGGCTGTGAAATATGTGTCAAAATCCCTGAGATAAAAAAAGAAAGAATAGCCAGGAGTGGTGGCGCACGCCTTTAATCCCAGCACTCTCGAGGCAAAGGCAGGCAGATCTTTGTGAGTTCAAGGCCAGCCTGGTCTACATAGTGAGTTCCAGGACAACTGGGGCTACAGGGATACCCTGTCTCAAAAAGACAAAAGAAAAAAGAAAGAAAGGAAGGAAGAAAAGGGGGGGAGGGAAGGAAGGAAGGAGGGAGGGAGGGAGGGAGAGAGGAAGGAAGGAAAGAAAGAATATAGCCAGGCATGGTGGCCCACGCCTTTAGTCCCAGCAGTTAGGACACAGTTGCAGGTGAATCTCTGTGAGATCGAGGCCAGCCTGGTGTACCAGCTGGGGCTACAGGAAGACCCTGTCTCAAAAAAAGACCAAAAGAAAAAATAGAAAAAAAAAAGGAATATACCAAGCACACATTTGCATGAAACAGCATGTTCCTCCTGATGAACTACCAGTAGTTTGGTTTAGGTAAGGTGAAAATCTTGAGTACTAAAAGAGAAGCCTGAGCCAGGCCTCAGAGGACTTTTGAATGGGAGTGGAGGCTGGCCAGATGGGTGTGTGCCTCCAGAACACATGGTATCCTTTCCCGAAATATCAGTTTTATTCAATGACATGGTGGAAAGGGGCAGGGAAACTCTTAATCTTCCTATGAGAACATACATGGCTAATTTGAGCATATACCTACTTCTCACCAACCTCCAATGCGTCTCATATTTCTGCATGATTCGCCATTGTTTGGCAGTAGAGAACCAGCAAAGGCTATAACAGAAAAAACAAGGGAAAAAAGAGTGTTAAGTTTTAAGTGTCTATATCTACCTAGCAGTGTGTGTGTGTGTGTGTGTGTGTGTGTGTGTGTGTGGGTGTGTGTGTGTGTGGGTGTGTGTGTGTGTGGGTGTGTGTGTGTGTGGGTGTGTGTGTGTGTGTGTGTGTGTGTGTGTGTGTGTGTTTGAAACAGGATCTTCCTATTAGTTCAGCCTTGCCTTGCATTCATGGTAATCCTGCTGCTTCAGCCTCCCCAGCGCTGGGATTATATCTAGTAGTCTGGCCAAGTAAGAAAGAACCCAATGTCTGTGGGGCACGATTTTGCACTCCTGTAATCCTAGCACTTCGGAGGTAGAGACCAGAAGATGGGGAGTTTAAGGTCATTCTGGACTACATGGTGAATTGGAGGCCAGCCAGTTCATAAGACTCTGTCTCAAGAAAAAGAACCCAAGAGAATGTCAACATGTAACAAGCATGTAAAAAAGAAAAGCTGGGCTGGAGAGATGGCTCAGCGGTTAAGAGCACTGACTGCTCTTGCAGAGGACCGGGGTTCGAACTCCAGTTCCAGGGGATCTGAAGCCCTCTTCTGGTCTGTGTGAGCATTGTACAACATGGGTGCACTCACATACATGCAGGAAAAACACTCATACACATAAAATAAAAATAATAATAAAATTTAAAAAAAAAAAAAGAAAAGCTAACAAAATCTTTTTTTTTAATTTTATGTGTATGCATGTGTTGCCTGCATGTAGGGAAGTGCACCCACATCATGCAATGCCTGCAGAGGACAGAAGAGACTGTCGGTTCCCCTGGAACTGGAGTTACGGACAGTTGTTAGCTGCTGTGTGGGCGCTGGGATTTGAACCCGGGTCTTCTGTAAGAACAGTCAGTGTTCTTAACAGCTGAGCCATGTCTTCAGCCCATTTTTTAAATATTTTATTCATTATTTTTATTTTATGTGTATGAGTGTATTGCCTGCATGTATGTGAGTGCACCTGTGTCATGCAATGCCGCAGAGGTCAGAAGAGGGCTTCAAATTCTCCTGGAATCTGGCATTAAGGATGGTTCGTAGCTGCCATGTGGGTGCTGGGAATCGAACCCGGGTCCTCTGCAAGAGAGGACAGTGCTCTTAACCACTGAGCTATCTCTCCAGCCCCTGAAAAGCTAACAAAATCTTAAGAGGTAGAGGAGCAAGAAGAGGACCCAGCCAGGAACATGAGATTATGAATCAAGAAAAAGGCTCAATGTTAAGAGCATTTTCCTGAATACAGAGATCTTCAAGTGTCCACCTCAATCACTCTCCACCTTATTTTTTGAGACAGTCTCTTCACTGAACCTGGAACTCACTGTTTCAGCTAGGCTCACTGGTCAGTGAACTCTGAGGATCCTCCTGTCTCTGCTTTCCCATGTTGATCATCATCAACATTGCCCCCTGTGCTGGATAGTTTTAGTGTCAACTTGACACACCTGGGTTGAGGGAGCCTCAATCGGGGAATTGCCTCTATTGGACTGGCCTGTGGCCATGTCTGAGGGGCATCTTCTTGATGAGTGATGTGGGAGGGCCCAGCCCACTGTGGGTGGTGCCACCCCTGGGCAGGTGGGCCTGTGTTGCATAAGAAAGCAGGCTGAGCAGGAGCCAAGGGAGCAAGCCTGTAAGTAGCGTTCCTCCATGGCCTGTGCTCCAGCTCCTGCCTCCAGGTTCCTGCCCTGAGTTCCTACCTTGGGCTCCCTGATGAACTGTGACCTGGGAGATGTAAGACAAATAGACCCTTTCCTTCCCAAGTTGGTACTGGTCAGAGTGTTTTATCATAGCAATGAAGAAACAAAGACAGTCCCCTCCAAAAAAAAACACCCCACCAAGAATGTCAAGGAGAATGTGGTGAGTACTTGAGGCTCAGGATGTAGCTTGGTAGAATGCTTGTGCAGCATGCATACAACCCTAGGTTTGAGCCCTAGCACAACACTGTACCGAACCTCATAAAACCAGGTATGGTGGCACATGTCAAGAAGCCCAACACTGGAGAAGTGAAAGTAGCAGGATCATGGGGGCTGGTGAGATAGTTCAGTGGGTAAAGGAGCTTGCCAGTAAGTAAGCATGATGACCTGAGTTCAATACTCAGAACTCACATGGTAGAAGGAAAGAACCAACTCCTTCAAGTTGTCCTCTGACATTCACCATGGCAACCCCCCAACAAAAAATAACGTAATTTTATTTATTTTTTTATTTTATTTATTATGTTTATGTGTATGCGTGTATTACCTGCATGTAGGTAAGTGCACCCGTGTCATGCAGTGGCCAAGGAAGTCAGAAGAGGTTGTCAAATTCCCTGGGACTGGAGTTATGACAGTTGTTAGCTGCCATGTGGGGACTGGGATTCAAACCCTGGTCTTCTGCAAGAACGAGTGTTTTTAACTGCTGAGCCATCTCTCCAGCCCCCAAAATAATGTAATTTTAAAAGGAGGAGGATCAGAAGTTCAAGGTCATCCTTAGCTATATAGTCTGAGCTATGAGACCCTATCTAAAAAGAAAAAGTGGTCAATACCCAGTCACATAAATATTCTAAAAGATAAGACTGGAAGCTTTTTGTCCAACATCTTATCAAGGTTGCAGTGGTTGCCACTGCTCTTGGAGCTAAGTCCAAGGACTATAGAAAGACAGACACTGGAAAGACAAAGACCTAGTAAACAAGTCTAGGGGAAAGGCCAAAAAGAAGTAGTCCAAAGGCAAGGTTTGGAACAAGCTCAATAAGTCAGTCCTGTTTGACAAAGCTACGTATAACATGCTCTATAAGGACATTCCCAACTGCAAATTTATTTCCCCAGCCATGGTCTTTGAGAGACTGAAGGTTCAAGGTTCTCTAGCCAGGGCAGCCCATGGGAAACTCCTTAATAAAGGATTTACCAAACTGGTTGGGCACAGAGCCCAAGTAATTTACACTAGAAATACCAAGGGTGGAGATGCCCCAGATGCTGGCTAAGAAGCCTTCAACCAAGCATACATTTGTAAAAATAAAACTTTATTCTGGGTGTGGTGGCACATGCCTTTAATCCCAGCACTCAAGAGGCAGAAGCAGGCGTATCTCTGTGAGTTCCAAGCCAGCCTAGTCTCCATAGTGAATCTAGGCCAGCTGTAGCTACAGGGAGACCCTGTCTCAAAAAGACAAAACAAAAAACAAAAAACAAAAACAAAAAAACAAAACAAAAAAACTTTATTAAATAAATTTTTTAAAAGAAGACTGGAAAACCACTTGGGTTTGGCAAGTAGGAATTCTTCCCTTGGTGGAAGATAATTTCAATGGGCAGTATCAAATACAGGACATACTTTTTCTCTGTGTTGGTGGTACTGGGATTGAATTTAGGACCTCACACATGCTAG